TATCTCCTCTAGCACACTGGGGCAGTGGTTCCGAGCTTGAGTGCTTTCGGCCTTCTCCTTGTCCTCTCTACACCACTTTGTTGTGCTCTCACACAAGCTCCCACCTGGTGTTAAGGCGCCTGTTGAGATCCATCCAGTTGATGGTCATGGGATGGGTCATTGACGTGGGTGACAACTTTATGTCACAGTGGTTCCTCTTCCTTACCTTTGCAGTTGTAGTATTGTTTCTTCTGGGGTTGGTGCAATGATTGTGAAGAGGTGTATCATAGTCCTCCATCTTCTCCTTTCCCTTGGTTATGCTCATCTCTATACTCTTTTGTTGTCCCACAAAACACTGGAAAAAAAACAAAATGACAGCTGAGTGATTGGCTACTGCTACTGTTGTTTACTTGTGCCACTGTTGCCCATTCTTCCAATCTCTGTCATTTCCATATTGTTGCTGAGGTCACTGTTGTTCATAAACTGGTACTGCTCCTTGGGGTACATGCTGTACTTGACTGGCGCGTAGTCCATCCTCCTGGTGACGCAGGAGGAAGTGTACATGGCCACAATGAACATCTGCACTGCTGATCCTATGGTGGCCTGGAGCAGGAAGATGGCCATAAACTGGCTGTAGCATTGGGTGTGCATCATGTTGAGTGGGAGTTGTTTGTTCCCGCTACCCATGCCATTGGTCCCCGTCATGGTGCTGCTGCTCATGCTAACGATGTTAGTTGTACTGTTGGGCTGTAGTATGTCGAGCGGAGGCGATGTGTCCATCAGACACTCCATGGGACTGTTGACTTGATAGTGGGATCTCCAGTGGATTATGCACACCATGAACATGGCCCAATTGATGAAGATGACCAGGCTCACCAGGAAGGTCTTGAGCATGAGCGGCGCGGTGGACTTGTTCAACGACGGGATCAGGGCAAAGGGGGCCAAGATGACGGTCAGTGCGAAGAAGCCGGCCAGGACCCCGGATGACACTACTATGATGAGCTTGACGTCGACGATCTCCAGGAAGACGTACTCGATGATGGAAAAGACCACCACCATCGCGTGGGCGATGATCGACAGGAGCGCGATCATATTCCACAGAAAGGAATGGCACGCGCGACCCTTGGCCTTGTAGCTCACCTCGCCCGTGTTGAGGTCGACCACGCGTTCCCATCCAGCGGCGCTTGCTGTGGTCCCCCTCTTCACCCTACCAAACACACTACCGTCGCGCTGCGTGTAGTAGGCGTCTGATGCATGCGACGCTCCCGCATTGGTTTCAGAGGCCACGGCGGCAGTTACGCCTGATGGGGAGGGTGCACGTGGTGTCGCAAGGCTGTCGTCATCATTGTGAGAGTACGATGACATGGACGTCGTAGAAGATGAAGACGTTGACCCACGATGATGCCTATTGGGTGTAGGCTCTTCCACACGCCGTCGCGGGTCATATGAGAAAGGTAAACAGAGTCTGGACCGCCTTCCCCAGCGTGCTCATAGACCTCTCCGTTGACCAGTATGTTGACCGTTGGAAGCTTCTTTTCCATCGCCATGGAGAATTGAAAAAAAAAAAGAGAGAGGGAGATAGCGACTAATTGCCCCTTGTTACTCAACGCTCGCTATGCCGTTATCAGCCTTTTGTGTGTGCGCGGGGCACATACATATACACGTGCATACATATGTTATTTAGATTTCATTATTGTTGATCATCCTTTGGTTTTCTTTGGCCTGTCGTTGTTGTGCGTGTGATGAACTCCACCATTACTGCTGGCCATACGCGTAGAATGGTCTCCCAACGAATGGGCGTTTCGGTATCGTCGCCGCCACTGGCATCGTGTCGGATGGTGGTATGCAGCAGAAGCGTGCCCGTGCACCTTGTGGTGTTGACGATGGCGGTGATCGGGAACAACGTGGCGCTGCTTGTGGGAATGCTTGGTAACATGATAGCGACGATGGGGCATCTTTGATTTAATAGGCATCGCTTCGTGAAGAGGACTGAGACTTCTTCGAACAATGCGGGCGACACTTCCTCCTCGACTTGGACTTCTTGTTCTCTGGTGTTGTCCATCGCCTTCACGTACGCGTTTGTATCGTTCATGACCTTTTCAATGGCTGACGTTATGCTCCACACCGTCTCAATGGGTACTCTATAGGCCTTTTCAATAACCTTGGCCACGTCGCTCGGTTCGTTGTCTTCGAAAACCGGTTCGCTCTCGACGCTCTGCTTCATGATCTCCAGGACCTCCGTCTTTGCGTCTTTCCCACGCTGTTCCTCTTTAGCTCTTCCATTTCGGCCTCGTCTATGTAGATACGATCGGTCTCGTCGTTGTATTGGACGACGTTGGGATCTTAGAAGGACGTAACCTTGGGTACCGTGTCCAGTCCAATGGTGTCGTTGTTGGTGAGTGCTGTGTAGACCTTGTAGTACCTCTGCTGCAAAAGTTTCACAAAGTTGTAGAACCCTGCCGACGGCGTGACCTCTCCTTCACCATCTTCTTGCATGGTGATTTCACCTAGATCGACTTCAGACCGATCATCATCTTCGTCTTCTTCCTCTTCCTCGTCATCATCTTCCTCTCCACCAGAGGTCGTCGACTGGAGGGGAGGATCGGGTACGTTGGTGTCCTTTGCACGCATGATCATGTCAAAGGCCACGGCCTTGCCGACTATCTCGTCGAGTCTGCTTATCATGGCTAACATCGACCCGTTTGTCATGTTCTTGAAGTCCTCCAGTTGCTTGCTTATCTCCCGGATCTTTGCGACCAGCTGCTTGTTGGCGTCCTTCAACCGAACGACCTCTAAGAGCGTTCTGTCGTGCGTCTCGTTGATCTCAATGTACGCAGCAAGCATTTCGACGTCGTTTTGGTTGCCCATCGCGCGGGTGCATGAACGAATAGTCGCCCTCAAGGGTGCTTGTAGCAGTTGCTCCGCCTTCATCTAGCCGATTTCCCCTTTGCAGTGGACTCATCCACGGGGTCCCGTACTGCAGAGGCGTTGGCAGGTCAAACACGCGGGCCTTCTCTCTGTCAGTTTTGGTTTGCGACTCGATCCCTTGTATGACGTGCTCGTCCACCTTCATGTAGCCCCAAACTCCGATATAGCCCAGAATGCTGTATTTCCCCTCTTCACTGATGGCGTCTACCCGCTTCGTCGACCTGGTGCCGGTCAGGAAAACGTTGTGCGCCAGGGATACCATCTTGATGACCAGCTTCTTGCACGTTTCCATGAATGTCCTTCTCAGGATGTGCCCTGGCATGAGAGTTGCAATGATGACCGTCTTGATGGTGGACGCCTTGCTCAAGGAGTGCGATGTCGAGCCCGAGAAGATGAGGCCTACGATTTCGTTGAGCGCAAAGGCAAAGGGGTTGTAATTGTAATCATTCTCGCCGATAAAGACAGCGTTGGTCTTGTCCGTGACCTCCAGAGACCTCCATGACGTTTGTCCGGGCGTGGTTATCGCGTCACGGTCCACGACCCCGAGCCTGTCCGCGTACTTGGTGACAATGTTGTGCGACTGTGCAACATCGACATCGAAACCGATGAGGAGTACGCCGGACTGTATGGCCGCGTAGGCCCACACGTAGAGCGAAAGGTTCACCAGGGTGCTCCACAGAAGAACCTCGCCCCCGTTCTCATGTACGTCTTTCATGGTAAATGCAGATATGTGGCCGATGGCGCTGTCCACCTTACCAGTATCAACTCCATTGCCGCCCTTGCGATGCATGAATTCAGCCGCGAGGAGGCTGATGACCTTGGACACGCTCAGATGAGCCTGTTCTATGTGGGCCATGCACTCAGACGGGGGCACACCATCGTGTCGCTCCTTCATGCTGAAGAGGACTTCCAACCATATCAAACCCAGTGACCAGGACAAGAGCAACGGGACACGCTCAGCGTAGCCTTTGGTAAGGCGAGTGACAAACTCATTCCCATTGATCATATCAGGTCCTTAATAGAGATCCTCGATGGAAGTGTCCAGTTCGGATGATTCTTCTCTTTCCTTTTCTGCCTCCTCCTCGTTTTCATCTTCACCTTCTTCATTCAACCGTTCATCGTCTTCTTCTTCTTCCTCTCCCTCTCCCTCCTCCTCCTCTTCAGATGTTGTCTCGTCCTCCTCCTCATCTTCAGATCCATTGGTTCATCATATGCATGCATTTCAATCAGTTCTTCCAGTGCCGTCATCTGAGGCAAACCCAATGGAGTCTCTACATGAGATGATGCAACGACTCCATTCGCCCTCAGCACGTCATCCGGTCTGGTGTAAGGGGCTGGCAACCGGTCAAATAGATCACCGTCCAACGCATAGGTAAAACTGGTGCCTCCAAACATGAGGAGGCCATTAAAGACTGCCCTCTCCATGGAAGAGTTGCTCCCCTCTTCCACCGTTGGCTTCAGCGGTCCGTTGGCCCTAGCCTCCCTGATCACGTTCTTCACATGTGTGGCGTTGGGAGTGGGCTTGTCTCCCAGCACCCATGAAAGGTTCGTCATGTAGTGTTTGAGGCCAGTGTGGATGTTGTGGAAGGCCCTGTCCAGCAACTTGACGGCAGGGAATGAGGTGTTTGATTTGCCTCCTCCTTCATTGCTGTGGCTCGCCCTCACCCAGTAATCCATGGGTGAGCTAAACATGGAGAGTTGGGTCCCTATGAGCGTTTGGTATATGCGCAAATGGGCAAACACACGCTTGACCATATGCGCCCACATCTCCCTGGCCAACTCCATGACAGTTGCCATGATCTTTGCATGCAGGCCTTCATTCACAAGGATCTTGTCAGTTATGGTGTCCCTGGTCGAGCTCCTCGCCTTCTCATCTTTGTTGACCATCATGTGATAGATGATATGGCAATCAAGCAAAGGCCTCCCATTCTGTGAGCCCAGACCTGTGAACGTTCCCAGCATGGTGTATCTGATGTAGTACCTGGACCTAATTGTCCCCATCATTGTGTTAGGCCTTGCTGCTGCCAACCACTCGCCAAGGTCTATGGGGTCATTGATTTTGTCTGTCATGTTGTGAAACACGATCCTGCATGCATCCTCCACCAGAGGGATGTTCTTGGTGAGAATGGTGAGGTCACTCCTTCAGTGCTCACCAACATACAAAACCAATGTACACATCTCAGCTCACTGATGTATGAAACCAACGTACATGTCTTGGCACTGGGAGACTGTCCCCTCACTTTCATGTCAATGCTTATGAGGAGTGTGATCATCCTGGAGAGGTACTTCCAGTTTTCTGTGCTTTCCAGATTGTTCTGCTGTCCTCTGTAGGGAGCATGGCCAACCACAACAGGTTGCCTTGGCAGAATCCATTGTTCATCACCTTCTCCACAGTGAATCCTGTTGAGTCCTCCTCCTCGCCCCTATCACTCGCATGCCTACCGTGGATGTAAACAAAGTTGGGGATGTAGGCCAACGTTGGTTCATACATGTGCATAAACGTTTTAATATAATCTGGACCAGCCTTTGCGAGGACTTGCCTTTTGCCCAGGGCGATGGCCTTTGCCATAACACTGTTGAAAAAGCCCTGGTCATCCATGACCTTCCTCACAGGAGCACATCCTAAACCCCCTCTTCCTGCTGTTGGAGGACAGTTGGTCACTTCCATTCTCTCTCTATTGGACGAGGATGACAGAAAAAAACAATGCTTTTGTTGTGCTTGCTGGCTGGGGACTTCACCACCGCAAATGATAGCTATTACTAGTGACAAGGATTTTATACGCACCAACTTTACATGCTGCCTCCGATTTTGTTTTTCTTGGCACACTTCAAACAAAGAGCATATTTGTGCCGAATAGGTAAGGCCTTGTTGAAATCGTATGGCTTTGTCGCGATGATGCCTGCCAAAACCAACAAGTAGGAACAGAGAAGAGTCCTCTGATGGTAGTTGTAGTGAGTTGAGGGAGGGGCCTCCAACTAATCTGCAACGTGTGAGTTAAACCACCGTCAGAACAATCACCTGACTTTGCAAGGTCACAGTGAAGACCTATAAAAAGATTGCTTGGCAGAAGGGAGGAGGTAATCCAGGACCAGCACTCCACGCACGTCTTGCGGCAGTGTGCGGCTGTAGTGTGGCGAATTGTGGCGGGGTAGACACAATGTGCCAGGTATAAAAGAGTCGCGCCAGAACGCCTTTTCCAGCCACAACAACATCAACTGACACCGCCACTACGATGAACAAGCCGTTTGCTATTCCACTGACTGTAGCTGTCTTTGCATGCCTGGCAGTGACGCTCTGGTAACTAAGGACTCCTTTCTTCTCATACTGACAAGCCTATAGTAACCCTTATTATTGGTCTTCCCAGTGCGGCGGATACCCCGCATGGAGCTTGTTGCTGCACTGGCTGCCAAGCCTCCCCCTTCTTCGCCGGCTCCCCCAATGTCTTTCTCGCCTTTACGCCGCAGGGGCGGCACTCTTGTTCCTTTATTTGCGTGGACCACCATCTATTCTGCACTGGCGGGCATGTGGCTCTATCGCCCGAGCAGTGCATGCCAGGTCAGCGCTAAGGGGGCACGGAGTGCAAGCAGGAGGAGGCAGCTTCGCTCACAACCGCAAGGCGCTCTGCTCGTGCGGACGGACAATAAAAAGTTTATGATGTTATTCGTTTGGTTGACATCATATGGGGGAGGAGGAGGAGGAGGAGGAGAACATATAGGACATCAGAGAAGACATGAGCACGACTGGTGAATTCTGTGATGCCATATTGCTGCTACCGACATGGGGCGATCCATGATGTGCAGGGGAAGAGATGGCAACACAAGCCGCATGATCCGTGTGCAGGTCGCACATGTTGACGACAACCGACGACAACGTTCGTACGTCGTCAAACACGACAACGCGTCGGAAACCAGCCACATGTGCGTTTACGTGATCGTAACGCGACGACGACGTAGACTTTGGACCTTTCCTACTAGAGGGATTGGTCGCAAGTGCGCCGCGCTCGGTGTTCATGCGCACGACTCTTCTCCTCATGGTGGCGGCGACTTTCGGTGCGGGAGTCAGGTGCGGACCGGCAAGGCGAGCCACTATGTGGATGAAGCACTCTCTCCCCTCTTTGATCTGGTCTTGGGGCATGATGATTCCGTGGTGCCTTTGCTGTTGCTGTCCGTGCTGTCGGTCGGCGAGGTAGTGGTAGCCGCAGTCGGGTCCTATCCCTGTGAGCTGTCCTATGAGCTCAGCGGTGCCAGGCCTCGGGTATGAGAGCTCGACGAGGACGCCGCACTTGGCGCAGAGGGCGTGCCACTTGCCGTTAGCGATCCTCACGCACCTGCCGATCATGTCCATCTTCCTCAGAGGGCGTTGGCACTTGTTCAGGGCGCACTGAGGTCGGCCCGTGATGGCGTCCATCTTGTAGTTGGTCATCCACATGAGCGGGGTGTCGTTCTTCTTCTTGGTGTAGGCCGTCACGTGTTCGGCCCATGCGCCGCACGTGCAGTAGCGCACCACGCCCACGTCGTCCGGCGTCTCCTGCCACGGCATGACGCGAAAGAGCCTGCGCCTGGCCTCCACCTGGCGCAGGGCGACGTCTCCCGTGAGCGCCACCTGGCCAAAGCCCCTCTTCCGGTAGACGGTCCTCGTGAAGACGAGCGAGATGATCAGGTCGCGTTGGCAGCTGCCTCGCATGCGTTCGATGCTGTCGACGATGGAGTTGTAGGGCATGCTGGAAAGCTCGTACGACTCAAAGAGAGAGGCCAGCTCGCGCGATCCCTCACGGCTCATGACCCCCAGCTCCCCGAGCATCCGTATGGCCAATTGGAAGCTGCCCCTGTCGCTCGGGTCCTTGGAGGTCACGAAGCGCGCCAGGTTCCTCGCGATGCCGGCGTTTCTCCTCGCTCTTTCGTCGTCTCCTTCGAACGGACCCATAACATCAAACAGGCCCATGCGCACGTACGCCTTCGTCCTTCCCTGGAGCATCATGTCGTACACGACCAGCCCGGCCTTCTCCATGTGCGCTGCGTCGTCGGGCGAGTGTGCATGCACGATGCCGATTTTCCTGGCCGCTCGCTCCACGAACACGGAATCGTGTTTGACCACCCACGAGGCAGCGGTGGAAGAGAAAACGTCCTCGAAGGTGCCCTTTGAAAGCTTGGTGATGTGGGTATGCGCCAGCTTGCACGCGTTCACACACACGGCTTCGATGCGTGCGAGCGCGGACGAAGCGTCGGGCGACCTGGAGATGACGTCGCGCACGGCGTCCATGGTCGAGCGCGAGTGCCTCTCGTGTTCGGACTGCTCGTGAGGCGTGTACTCCATGAGGACGTCACGCAGCGGGTGACAGTGCGACAGCTGGTGTACGTAGAACTCCTTCATCGCGCAGTAGACCAGTTTCTGATTCTCGCCTATCCACGTGGTGAGGTTCGTGTCGTGCGTCTGCGAGATGAACAGGTGGTCCGTGCGCAGGCGCATGCGCTTGTCAAACGGCGGACGCACGCGGCAGTGGGGGTAGATGCCCATGAAGCTGGGTGCACGATGTCCCTCACGAGGGCCGAAACGACTCTTGACTTGTATATCTTCCTGCATATGATGGACGAGGTGTTCCTTATCTGGCACTTGTGCGGCTGGGTCTTGCACATGAAGAGGTGGGTGAGGGTGGCGACGATGTCCATGTCCGACCCAGGTCGCTTGATGTTGCGCCACACCGACGTCGTGGGCAGGAGGCCGGTCATGTCCGGCAACTCGTCTGCCGTCATGCATTTCCACCACCTCGGCACGGATGCCATGAAAAGGACGCTCCCCTCTCTTGCCGCCGCCACCGCTCCTCCTCCCCCGCCTGCACCTTTTCCTACTACCACCTGTATAGCCACAGCCACAGGAGAGTGATCCGCTCCAGTGGCGACACCGTTGAGCACGTCTGCGTCAAGAACCGTGATCCTGCTGGGTGTAAGGATGAGGTCAATGTGTTTGTGGACTATGGCAGGACGGTGGAACAGGGCTCACAGGGCAGGGCTAGAGTTCAGCAAGTTGGTGCTGTTGGATTGGTTGAGAAAACACATTATATGTGCAGCACACTCACAATTGATTGCCTCCAAGGGTGACCTTACCCTGACTGGTGTGGCTTTTTCAAGTTTGTGCCAGCTGAACTTGATAGTGTTGGTGTGTGTAACCCAAAAGGAGTCTTGAAGATGGCTCCCAGGGCAGATGAGGGCATTGAGTTCAGGGCACAGGCAGAAGTTAGTGACGTTACTATTATCCATTGCTGTGGGTGCTGCATTGAAATTATGTCCCACCCCTTTTTGTAACATTCATGGATGACAGGGGTGAGGCATGCATGGATCCATTTGTTAGTTTTTGCAAGCCCCTCTGTGGGGGCATATACATTGAGCACACATATGGGCACACCACTGGCAGACAGTGATATCACCATAAGATGACTGTTGGGATGTGAGGTCCCAGAGTTGTCATGTTTAAGCACCTTGTGCACCCAGATATATCAGGCCACTGAGGGGGGCACTAGGATGGCCAGGCCTCCTGTGGTGTAGGTTCAGGAGCTGTTGATAGCCATCTTTTTAGAGTCAAACTGTGCCTGTGAGATGTGTCCTTCATGAAGCTGGTGATCAAGTTTGGAGAGCTGGACCGCAGTTTGCTTGGCATGTAGGGTGGGCGTGGATGGGGAGTTGAAGTGGATGTTGTTGGTGAGCTGGCAATGGATATGGTCCTCCATACCCACCTCAGCGTCGCACAGAAGGCCTGTTTCTTGAACTAGCACAATGTGCCACCCATGTTTTGACATGAGCCAGTTTACCATGTCCAAATGAGCTGGTGAATGGGTGATGTTGATGGAGACTAGGTTCAGAACACCACCAGTGACCATGATGGGCAAGATGGTGTCTCCAGTGGCGTTGTCCAAGTCAGTGCAGGCAGCCCCTACTCCCAGGGGGAAGAGCCCAATGGGCAAGATTGTGAGCAGCAGTAGGAGGGGTTGTGGGGAGGTGACCATGTGGGCCTGAGCATAGTACATGCAGTGTTTGTGAGCAGGATGATTGAGAAACCAAAGTGGGGGATGACCAACCTGGTCCACAGGGGGTACACAAGGTGGGGGGGTATTGGGGGCAAGCCCACAGCCACAGCCTCTGCCAGTTGAGTGTACTTGGCAATGCAGAGTCATTGTGGGCCTTCCATTCAGCTTGGAGCTGTTGGGGCTGGGTCTCAGCAGATCTATTAGCATGCTTGCATTGATCAGTGGCATGGGCCTTGACCTCAGCTTCCTGTTCCTCTGCTGACTTGGTGTGGACCATGGAGATGACCTTACTGTTGAAATGTTTGGTGCCTGTATATGAAGGTCACAGTGGAGTGTGAGGATAAAAAGGAGGGGGTGGTGGAGGGTGGGGCAAACCACTGAGTGTGAGAGTGTTATGGAGGCCACTGGGAGACACAAACTTGATGAGCATCCATGGAGCATACCTGCTGTCCAGTAGCTTGCTGAAGTGGGAGTTGAGTACTGCTCCACATTTCACAGCAAAGAATCCAACTATGGCCATGTGGGAGGAGGTGGTGGCCAGGTTTTGAATGTAGACCCTATGTCCCACGCCAGAGCCAAAGACATCAAGCCAGGGCCCTACCATGAGTTCCTTGCCCAGGACTAGAACAGAGCAGAGGGCACAGACAGCTTCAGCTACACACAGTCCTCAACAAGTAGCTGCCAGGTGCCCAGTACAATCATAGCAAGCAACACCTGGCAGGGTTCAATGATGATGTCATGGGTAGCAACATAACTGATGATGCTTTGGAGGTCAACCCATACAGCAACTCCCTTGCCCACACAGATGGCAATCTTGGTCTTCTCAAGGGATGGGACAAAAGGACCTACAGAGATCTGACCTGGACCATCCCACAGGGGAAAGATGCATGTGGCCAGTGCATCAACATCACCTTCCAGAACATCAACTGCCACTGTGGAGGACTCCAGGTCAAAGGGCATGTCATCCTGCCTGATGGGGAGCCCCATGCCCTGAATCTTCATCACAACAAGCACATACTCCATAGCCAAGACGCCAGTAATGAGGATAACATGACAGTCACCAAGGTTGTGGCTGAGGTTGGTGTCCTCATTGAAGTTGTCCATTGAGTCTTCTGAATCAACTTCCTTGATGTTGTTGGTGAGCTGCTTGAATGAGTTATCAGGGCGGTGGTGCTTGAGGAGTGGGCCTTGCATGATGTACTGGGATGGGTTAAGTAGTGGGCTGGGAGGGATAATGTGATGCACAGGAGGCCAGGAGAAAGTACCAACTCACTGTCTATTGGGCCTGGGACAAGACCCCCCACTAGCCAATCTGTGTGTTGTCTAAGTTGGAGCTTGTATGAGTGGGGTTGGAAGGATGGGGTGGAAGTGTGGAGTAACAGGGTGAGGCCATTTTCTCTGAAGGGGAGGAGAGTGGTGTGTGGGGGGCAGAGGGGGGGCAGAGATAGGTGGGAATGAAGGGGGGGTATAGGGGTAGCATACACCGCACCACTTCTTCATGTACTCTGCTGATGCTCAGGGACTTGGTGGGGAGGGATGGGTGCTGAGCAGACATATCTAGTAGTGGAGGTGTGATTTGGAGTGGGGTTGGGGGGAAAATATTTATGTTGGGTGGTGGGAATTGAGGGTGAAATGGGACAAGATTGTGTAGATCTGGTGGAGTGAGCAGGACAGTAGGGGATAGGGGAACAGAGACCATGGAAGGTTGAGGCTGATGGGTAATGGCTGTCAGTAGCCAGGGAGGATGGAGAGCTATAAATTAAAAAATGGAATGTTTGATGATTGCAATGAATGAGGGCGTGGAAGCCCATGGCTAGTGGGTTACAGCTGCTAGTAGCCAAGGTACCACGTAGGGGGGGTGTACCATGAATAAATTCAGATGCTCCAAGCAGGATCTGTGGCTCTGTTGTCCTCTCCATCTTTTTCCACTACTGCAGGGCTGGGGCTGGCCAGCTGCATTCCAGGCATTCCAGGCATCATCACACTGTGCAACCAATCCACCCACACAGAGTGCACCAACGGCAGGTTGATCCACTTGTACAACTTGCAACTACATAGAAAAGCCAATGAAGAGGCAGTGGTGATGCCTTACAATGATGTGGGCCATGGCTCTTATGAATTGGGCCTCATGGTCATCCTCCCCTACTAATGAGCCCTCATGCCCTTCATTCCTATCATTGTTACCTTCTGCCACCTGGCTTGGCCTATGAGGGGTCTTGGTGAAGTTGCCAAACCTGGCTAGGGCGGGGTGGCCCCCTGGCATCCCAAGTTGTTGTTTGGCTCATGTCTGTTCCAACGGATGGCATCCAATCAACATCGACCGTCCTATTATGGTAAAATAGGAAATGAAAAGAAAACAAGTTCGAAACGAAGAAATTAAGAGGGAAGACATAAACGAAGAGAGAAACATGCGGAGAGTGAAGAGCGCCGGGCCTGCGCTGGTGCGGCAGATGGCGACAACAAGTGCTGCAGCGATCCCGCCTTATCGCGGCGGTGAGGCATTGTGGGGCACCCGGGCCAGTGAACCACCCGGACCCGCGGCCCTCCCGAAGCAGCCGGCCTCCACTCGGCCCCCACGCCCGCCCCCTCACCTCTTCCGGCCCTTCACCGTGCGCGGCCTCACCCTCAAGAACCGCATCGTCGTCTCCCCCATGTATTGCCCCCCCCCCGAGTTTACAACACAACACACAACACACAACACACAACACAACACTACACGACACTACACGACACTACACGACACGCACGTGGTGACCAACCGCTTGGGGAGTGCAGGTGCATGTACAGCTCGACGGACGGGATGCTGAGCGACTGGCACCTGGTGCACCTGGGTTCGTTCGCCAAGGGCGGAGCCGGGCTGGTCGTGTTCGAGGCCTCCGCGGTGGTCCCAGAGGGCCGCATCACCCAATATGACGCCGGTGCGCGTGTGCGAGTGCGGTGATGTGCTCGTGTGCGGTGATATGCAGTGGTTGCGAGACTTATGTTGTTCGCTATCTCGCAGGCATTTGGAAGGACGAACAGATCGGACCCATGAGCCGGATCGTCGACTTCATCCACCAGCACAAGAGCGCGGCCTGCCTGCAGATCGCGCACGCGGGACGGAAGGCAAGTACCACGCCACCCACCACCCGCCACCCACCATGACGTCCATTTGGCGTGACTGCGCTGATGGTGGTGTGAATGAACCCGCCGCGCACCCGTCCATGCTCCACAGGGCTCGGCATACCCTCCGCACAACACCTTTGCCAAGCCCAGGGGAGGTGCGCCGGACGCTGAAGGCGGCTGGCAGACCGTGGGCCCTTCGCCGGTACGGAATTTACCCCTGCTGTGCGCGACTAGTGGTTGATATGTGGGCGCCCACGCACCCGCCTGTGCAGATCGCTTTCAGTGATGACATGCGCCAGCCAAAGGAGATGACCAAGCAGGAGATCCAGGATACCATCCGGGCATTCGTCGACGCGAGTACGTGAGAGTATTATATCTTTTTTCTATACGTGTGAAGTTGATGCTTCACCTATACTTCTTATTTATCAAGCCAATTGGTTTATGCTTTTGGCCAGCTGTGCGAGCCGACAAGGCGGGATTCGACGCTGTCGAGGTGCACGGGGCACACGGCTACCTCATCTCCTCCTTCAACTCGCCTCTCTCCAACCACCGAACCGACGACTACGGCGGGTCGTTCGAGGTACTCTGCCACACAGCCAGCTCCATACCCTCCCAAGCCTCGCCATTTCACCCTTGTGTCGCGTGCGGTGTGTCATGTGTGCGGTGGTGCGTGCGCGTTGTATTGTAGGGGAGAACAAAGCTGTGCCGGGAGATCGTGAAGGAGGTGCGCAACGCGTGGCCGCGAGAGAAGCCCCTCTTCGTGCGCCTGTCGTGCACGGACTGGGTCGAGGGCGGCTGGGACCTCCCGCAGACCGTGCGCCTCTGCCGCGACCTCAAGGAGCTCTGCGCCGACGTCATCGACTGCTCCTCCGGCGGTCAAAGGTTCATACCACGACACACACGCCACACGCCACACACGACACACACGACACACACGACACACACGACACACACCTAACCCTCGGTACCACAGCCCCAGCCAGAAGATAGCCGTGGGTCCGAGCTACCAGGTGCCCCTCGCGGACGCGGTGCGCCGCGAGGTGACCATCCCCACCTGCGCCGTGGGCGAGATCTCGCAGGCGGCGCAGGCCGAGGAGATACTGGTCAACCAGCGGGCCGACCTGGTGGCTATCGGGCGCCAGTTCCTGCGCGATCCCTTCTGGCCTCTCCACGCCGCCCGCGACCTGGGCGCCGATCTTCACTGGGCCGTCCAGTACGTCGCCCCCTTTTATTTATTTTTATTTATTTATCTTGTTTCATTATCTTTCGTTACTTTTTACTAAATTCTTATTTTTCAGGTACGACTGGGCTGTGGGGCGACCCAGATTGTGAGGATATTAGTTGTTTTTTTATTTTTATTTTTTTAACAACAATACACAACACACAACAATGATGGCGGAACGCGAGGCCTGGGTCTACAAAGCCAAGCTCGCCGAGAATGCTGAGCGCTATGACGACATGGTGGCGGCTGTCAAGGAGGTGGCCGCCAGTGGTGAGGGCCTGTCGGTGGAGGAGCGCGTCATGTTCAGCGTGGCCTACGCCAACCTCATCGGCTCGGCGAGAGCTTCATGGCGCGTGGTGTCCTCCATTCTCAAAAGGGAGGAACGCCTTGAGGAGAAGGTCGAGCGGAGGGTCAGGCTGGCCCGCGCCCTGGTACGCAAGCTCGAGGGCGAGATGGACTCTATCTGTCAAGAGTGCGTGGATCTTATCGATGACCACTTCCTCCCCTCGGCCTCCGACCTCGACAGCCAGACCTTCTTCCTCAAGCAGTACGCCTTCATCTACTTCAGCTTCACCTTTGCACTTCACGCGTGTTTCAGTGAAGTGTTCATTCGTCTACCTTTCCGGTTTTTAAACACGGAGCCGATTTGATTGGCTTGGCTGACCACACCCACACAGGAAGGGTGACTACCTCCGGTACAAGGCCGAGTATGCATCTGGCGAGAGGTACCAGGAGGCTATCGAGGCCGCCCGCCAGGCCTACCAGTCCGCAACTGATGTTGCCCAAGGTCTGCTTTCTCCTCCTGCTAATTGATGATGATAATGATGATGATGACACGCCTCTCCGCAGAGCTGCCGCCTACGCACTTGAACCGCATGGGCCTGGCGCTCAACTTCTGCGTGTTCTACCGCGAGTGCATGCAGTCGCCGTATAAGGCGTGCCAGATCGCCGAGCAGGCGGTGGACGAGGCCAACAACCATCTCAACCGCACTGGCCAGGAGGACAGGGACGCCAGACTCGTGATGCAGCTCCTGGAGGACAACCTCACTCTCTGGGCTTCTGAGATGCAGAAGACCCACCACGAGGGCCAGAAGACTGACTGAGCCAGGCCCAAACGGCCACCGCAAAAGCGCGGGAAACTATTCGGCGGAAAATAGTTTCCTTGCCTTTTCTTTTGGACTTTGTCCGCTGCACTTTCCGTTGCGTTCCCCCTTCTCGCGTTGTCATCAATCAACCAATCCTCCTGCCAGGGTGCTTCAAAGTTGCGCAATTAACAAGCAGCAAGAGCTTGATCATTCGATATGTCGTTTTGGATTTTTGGAAAGCAGAAGACTCCCAAGGGTACCCCTCTGCCCACCTCCTGCACCTCGACTCGATCAAATGGCTCACGCAATGAATCAATTAGAGATCTTGAGAGAAAATCAGAGGGCGTTGCGACGCGCGATGCGTGAGCTGGAACGAGAGCGAACCAATCTGCAGCGACAAGAAAAGAATCTCACAATCGAAATCAAGCAGATGGCCAAGAAGGGTCAAATGGTACAGCCGTGTGCACAGGTAGCCTCTCCCAACATAAGGCCAGCCTCCCTGATTTGTCTCTCTTATCCACAGTCTGCCGCGAAGATCATGGCGCGAGATCTCGTGCGCACGCGTTCTCAGATCACCAAATTCTACCAACTCAAGTCACACCTCCAGGCTGTCAGCCTCCGCATGCAGGTACCTGGTTCCCACCTCACACATGAGGCTGGCTGGTTATCTGACGCTAGCGCTATTACTTCTTGTCCACCTCTTGCTGTGGGCTCCTGCTTGGCGTGGTGTAACCACAGACGCTGCAATCGCAGCAGGCGATGTCGGACGCGATGAAGGGAGCGACGAAGGCGATGATGGTGATGAACAGGCGCATGAATATACCCGCCATGCAGAAGATCCTACAGAACTTTGAGATGCAGTCAGAGATGATGGACATGAAGGAGGAGATGATGGCCGACGCCATGGACGACATCTTCGACGAGGATCAGGAAGAGGAGGAGACCGACGAGATCCTCAATCAGGTCCTCGACGAGATCGGCATCAACCTTTCCTCAGAGGTACACCCAGACCCTGTCGAGCAGCCTGCGCTGCTTCCCCGCTGTTGCTACAGTGCTGACGTGGTCCTGCTCTTCTTCTTCTTCAAACCGCGCCAGCTGGTGGACGCCCCAACGAGCATGGGCGCGACCAACGTCAAGCAAAAGACGGCGGCCGTGCTGTCGGAGGGTGGCGGACCCGCTCCCGGAGGAGGAGCCGGCGGACGACGGCCCGGACCTGGCGGCGGTGGCAACGGAGGAGCCGGAGGTGGCGGCGGTGGCGGCATGGGCGTGGGACCTTCGGTCGGCCCGAGCGACGGCGGCGTGCCGGCCAGCGACGAAGACGACGATCTGGCCGCGCGTCTCGAGGCCCTCAAGCGGAACTAGTTCGCGTAACAGAGCTGCCGAGCAACCAAGCAAGCCTTACCGCCATCGCCACACTCTAACCCTTCGTCATCACCCTGTGTTGTAGATATCCTTCCCCATCTTGTTGTGTTGTGTTGGTTTTGTCTCAAGAGACGCCACGTCACCCTGCGGCAGTTTCGCTTTCGTGTGCAGTTTCTCTTTGTTTCATTTTCGAATCGAAGAGATGATGCAAGAGAAGGACAGCGCGGACCACCTGCCCACCCTCTTCCCTCCGGCCCGGTTCGGGCTGGTCGAGAATGGAGTCTACAGATCGGCCGTGCTGCGACCACCCAACTTTGCCTACGTCAAGCAGCTGCGGCTGCGCACGGTCGTGCGTCTATCGCCTGAGGTGCCCAACAAGTACATTACGGCATTCTACGAGGAGAATGGGGTGCGAATCATCCATTTGGGGCTAAAGGCGCTCGAGATTTCCAAGGAGCGAGTAGCGAGCAATGCAACGGAGACGAACACGCTGCTCACCGAGGAGGTGGTGAAGGAGGCGCTCGAGATCATCCTCGACGCGCGACATCACCCGCTTCTACTCGTTTGCAGCTCGGGCTGCCACCACACGGGGATCGTGGTAGCCTGCCTGCGCAAGCTGCTCGACTACAACCTCACCTCCATCCTGCAGGAGTACCGCGACTACGCCCTCTCCAACACGCGCGCCATCAACGAGCAGTTCATCGAGTTGTTCGACACCGACCTCGTCACTCTGCCACCCGAGGAGCGTCTGCCCTCGTGGTTCCTCGACTGGCGACGGATGAAGGGCGAAGAGGAGGAGGAAGCAGAAGCTTCCATCAACCACGGTGTCACAATTCAACATTAAAATTGAAGAACAACGCCAGCGCATCCACAAGTGTCTGCGCAGATTTTGTACCATCTTCGTTTCAGTCTCGTATTTGCAGCCGAAAATTTGGCCAAAGAGTTCTGAAATTTTCGTAGGCCTGCAACTCGCCTTGACGTGATCAGCGTGCGAGACAAACAACAGTCCTCGAAGATGCTGAGAAGGCGGTGCAGTACGAGCGCGCAGCGATGTTCGGCGCCACTACCACAGTTCCGACCTGTGGCCTGGCAAGCCAGTGCCACGCTCCGTCCGCGCCAGGGATTTAGTGCACCTCTTGCTACAACTTCCGTTTCATCGAGTGCAGTACCGCGGGCACCCTTGTCCCAGCAGCCGCACTACGTTCGCGGCCACGCAACTACGGCCACGGCTACAGCTACGGCCACCGCGCCGGCGGAGCAGCAGTCGGCCGAGCTGGGCCTCACGTGGCTCGCTGACTACCGCCCCCCGCTCTACACCGTAGATGACGTTCACCTGACCTTCGGCATTGAGGACGCGCACACCACCGTCAGCTCCATCCTCCACTGCAGGTAAGATGTGATTAATTTGTTTTTCCCTTTATTTTTTACATCTTATGTCTTGTGCGGTCGAGTGCAGGCACAACCCAAAGGCAGGGGAGATGGCGCCTATCGTGCTAGATGGTGGACCGCCTAGCGATATGAAGCTCTTGAGCGTGACCCTCGATCGTGTGCCGCTCCAGGCCGGCTCCGACTACAAGGTACCACCTGGCTCAAACAAAGCGGACCGAGTGGCACAGTGCCCTCAGTGGTGTGTTCTGACACAAGCCCAGGTCGACGAAGCGTCGGGAAGGCTCCACATCTCCAAACGCCCGGCCCAGCCCGCATTCACACTGGAGATCGCCACAGCGATCGAGCCCAAGAAAAACACCGCTCTTGAGGGTACGACATTGGTCTGGACTGGAGGCCTCCGCCACCTCGTTTCGTTGCTGGTCCTCAACTAACTGACCAAGCACTGGCTGATCAGGGCTTTATCAATCGAACGACGTGATGCTCACCCAGTGCGAGGCGGAGGGTACGCCGCTGCCGCTGCCGCACCCAGAAGGCGGTCTTGTAGAGCTTAAACGATCGTTCGATTTCACCAAACACAGGTTTCCGCCGTATCACGTACTTCTTCGACAGGCCTGACGTGCTTGCCAAGTATACCACCACCATCGTCGCCGACAAGGTCAAGTACCCCGTCCTCCTGTCCAACGGTACCCGCCCCACTCTCTCGACCTCCGCTTCAACACGATGGTCGATCATGACTCACCCGGCCAACGCGCACAGGAAATCTTGTGGCCGAGGGACAGACGGAAGGCGGTAAGCACTGGGCCAAGTGGGAAGGTACTCTCTAAAATGAGGCGTGATACGGAGATACGTAGAGGGCTCGCTGACTCACCCTTGCACCGGTACTATAGACCCGTACCCAAAGCCCGCCTACCTCTTCGCACTCGTCGCTGGCCAGCTGCACTATCTCGAGGAGACCTACACCACCGCGGCATCCAAGCGAAAGGTGCGGTCAACCAGATAGCAGACCTGATGTCCGCTGGTAGTAGATTACCACTCATCATCGTTTGTTGAACAGGTGACTTTGCGCATTTACACTGAGGAGGAAAACGTCTACAAGGTCGGTCACGCCATGGCCTCTCTTCGCAGAGCGATGAAGGTGCTTCTTCGTCTTCTTCTTCTTCTTCTTCTTCTTATCCACCAGTCCCTTTCTCGCGTTTCGAGGCCGCCTGACGAACACCACGCGTGGTGCATGTAGTGGGACGAAGACAAGTATGGGCTCGAGTACGACCTGGCCAACATGAACATCGTCGCGGTGAACGACTTCAACATGGGGGCCATGGAGAACAAAGGCACGCGCCCTTTCCCATCTGTTCACATACGCTACAAGAGCCTTCTCGTGGTCTGACCTCCTTATTCCCGCAACCAACCCTCATCATCTAGGCCTCAACATCTTCAACAGCAAATATCTCGTGGCCGATTCCAGGACCGCCACCGATGACGATTTCATGAACGTCGAGCGCGTTATCGGTCACGAGGTACATAGTCTCTATGTTCTTCGTCGTCTTCTTCATCTTCTTCTGCGCTTACATTGACAGTGCACCACACCACAACAATCGGTAGTATTTCCACAACTACACGGGCAATAGGGTCACCCTCCGAGACTGGTTCCAGCTGTCGCTCAAGGAGGGCCTCACGGTCTTCCGCGAGAATCAGTTCATGGCCGACCACCACAGCCCCGCCGTGCAGCGGATCAACGAAGTGACCACCCTGCGTAACTCGCAGTTCCGGGAGGACTCTGGCCCCATGGCGCATTCGGTCAGGCCGGCCTCCTACATCGACATCTCCAACTTCTACACCACGACCATCTATGAAAAGGCACCGACCGACCGACCAAGCCATCCATGGTGGCGCCTTGCGCGTCGTGACACTCACTGACAAAGTACTCCTGCTGTGCGCTGTTGGTCCACAGGGCGCCGAGGTGGTGGGAATGCTGCACACGCTGCTGGGCGATGACACGTTCACCCGAGGCGTGCAGACCTATCTGCGCGAGAACGACGGCAAGGCCGCCACCGTGGAGGACTTTGTCCGGGCCATGGAGACAGTGAGCGGCCGCACCCTCTCGCAGTTCTACCGCTGGTTCGGCCTCCACTCCAGGGCGCTCTCTGTTCGGTCGGTTCTCACACGCGCGTTCGGTGCACCACGTGGTGGGTGGGTGTGCAGGTACGACCAGGCGGGCACGCCGGAGGTCAAGGTGGCGAAGGAGTCGTTCGACGAGCGGGCGCGTCAGTACAAGCTCACCCTGGCCCAGTCGCCCGCCTCGACCCCCGGCCAGCCGGCCGAATCCAAGCGGCCCTTCCTCATCCCCGTCACCGTCGGACTGCTCGGCCGGTACCCATTGCGCCTCAAATGGGGTAAGCACGGCCAGAGGCCCGACTGACCAACCGAGGTGTGATGTGTGTTGACGACAGGGACGGCCAACCGATCCACAGCCAGCTCAGTGACTCCGACCCAGAGCTGGCCAGCCACACGCTCGAGCTCAGCGACGTCGAGCAGGTACCTCGCATTTACGAAAGAGAAGAGAGGCGCCGGCGTTCAGTGTCGCGTTCTGACTTCTCTTTCGCTTCTTCTGCCCTCCTGCGCAGTCTTTTGTGTTCAACAACGTGGCCAGCAAGCCCGTGCTGTCGGTTCTGCGCCACTTCTCGGCGCCCGTTAAACTTGTCCACCAGTACCTGCTCCCCGCAATCCATTGATTGATTGAACTTGGATTGATCTTGAATTGATTCTTCTGGTCTCGGTCCGGCACAGGCAAACGAAGGAGGACCGTTTGCTGCTGCTGCGCCACGACACGGACGCCTTCAATCGCTGGGAGAGCTGCCAGCATCTGGCCCTCGACGCGGCCCTCGCGCTCGTCGAGCAGCAGGCCACCTCGCCCGTACCTCCTCCTTACTATCTCTTCCACTGGCCACACGCCCGCAAACTGGCCTTGAAGGCTTCTCCTCAACTCTTGACACACGACACGACACGACCAACGACACGACACGACCAATGACACGACCAACGACACGACAACCAGGATGTGGACCCTTCGCAGGTCGACCCTCAGTTCGTCGAAGCCTTGGGGTCGGTGCTCAAGTCTGTCCTCGACAGTGCGCGCCCTTCTTCCCCCGAAACGCGCGCAACTCGACCTTGGCTCACGTGTGTCGTCGTCGTCGTCGTGTGTGTGTCGTTGTGTGTTGTGTGTTGTGTGTGTCTGTGTGTGTGTGTGTCTGTGTGCGCGTGTGTGTGTGTGTGTGTGTGTCGTTGTTTGTGTATGTGTCCTGTTGCTCTCAGGTCCCGGACTCAATGACAACGCGTTCATTGCACGTCTGTTGAGCCTGCCCAGCGAATCGTACATCGGCCAGCAGATGGCGGTGCTCGACGTCGTACGCGTGCACAAGGCCCGCAAGGCATTGAAGGCCGTCATCGGCAAGGAGCACCGCAAGCACCTCGAGCGGGTACCCATAGGATCCCTCACTTGATCACATCGTCATCGTCGCCATCATGTCGAGATTCACCTCACATATCTGTTGCTTTTCTCTCAGGTCTACGACAAGTTCCACGAGCTGGTGCCGATTGACTTCAGCGACGAACCAGGTACGCAGTGCCCCCACCGTCGGCTCTGACGGTTCCAGAAGACCTGTGGTGTGCTGACGCACGTTGTGTGGTGCAGGCCGAGGGAAACGGGAGGTGAAGAACATGGCGCTGGACTACCTCATGCACGGCGATCTCCACGAGGGCCGCACCGATGCGACCTCGCGCTGCACACAACAGTTCGGCGATGCACGCAACATGACCGACAAGTGCGTGTCGTTCCAACACGCACACGCACACGACCACCGCACACGCACACGCGCACCTCCAGTCCTGGAAAGGCTAACTGCAGCTAACGATATACATCTCTCACCGCTGGACAGGCTGGCGGCGTTGACGCTGTTGGCCCACATGCCGCAGACTCAGCGCGAGGCCGTCAAGGCGCTCGACAAGTCCCTCCAGGAGTGGTCCCAGGACCTGCTGCTTATGAACAAGTGGTTCAGAATCCAAGCCACAGGTACGTACTACCCAACGACCCTGGTGATGATGTGTGCCCTCAATTGGTTGACTTTAACTGTTGCGTGTTGCGTGTTGCGTGTTGCGTGTTGCGTGTTGCGTGTTGCGTGTTGCGTGTTGCGTGTTGCGTGTTGCGTGTTGCGCAGCGCCATTGATGGATCGCACGCTCACTGTCGTGAAGGAGCTCACCAAGCACCCGCAGTACCACGCCAAGAATCCCAACAACATCTACTCGCTGGTCGGCGGCTTCGTGATGGCCAACCAGTACTGCTTCCACGGCGCCCCGGAGCAGAGCTATGCCTTCCTGGCCTCGCAGATCACCCTGCTCAACACAGTAAACCCTCAGGTATGTCAGCATTCTCTATTTACATGTACTATTATATAATAATACTATCAATATATAATACTAATAATATATATTGATATTGATATATTCTTAATACACAACATGTTGTAATGTCGATTGCAGGTGGCGGCGCGGTTGGTGAAGGCGATGGAGGACGTGGTGCGTCTGCCCCAGCGCAACAGGGAGGTGGCGGCGGCCCAGCTCCAGACCCTCCTCGATATGCCCGGCCTGGCCAAGGAGGTCTATGAGGTCGCTTCCCGCTGCCACACCGCTGCCGTCGCCGGCCCAGCGAATCGCTCACATTGAAGAGAAGAGAAGGCCTTCACCAACCAAACTTTGTTGATACCACTCACAAAACCGAGCACAGAGGAGAAATTGCAAGAGCGGGAACGATACACTCGGGCCGGGCTGGGCTGGGAAGGTATCTTCAAGAAAGCTGCGAAGCTGGTGTAGCCCAATTAAGTGATAAATAAATAGAAATTAAAAAATAAATGGAGATAACGCATAGATATTCAAGTGTTGTACATTGTTTGTTGCGAACTACTGATGATCGATCAGGTTCGGGGTGAGGGGAAAAGTCAACTCTTCGAAGACGGGGATCCGGCTGATCGAGGACTCACCGGGCTTCCGCGAGGCGTGTGGCCCCGCTCACTTGACTTGCGGTGTTTGCTGCGCCGGCGAGGTAATACAACATCAGAAATGAGCACACACACACGCCCGCAGAACACAGAACACACACGAGACGCACTACGCACGCCTGAATGGCGTACCTCTTGGAGCTGGACTCGTGAAAGATGAGCGATGCAGTCTCCTTGAGCTGTCGCGAGCGCGGTGTTGTGGCCGCCATGCCCGAGGCCGACTCGGCTGAGTCCGATCGGTGCAGGCTGGCGCTGGCGCCTGAGCTGCCGCCCGAGCTGCCGCTGAGCTGGTGCCTGTCGCGGTTCTTATCGCGCATGGTGCTCTCCATCAGCTTGCCGTTGGCCTCATAGTAGAGGTACTTGATTCGCTTCAGGTCCCGCTCCAGCTTCCTGATGGTCTCCTCCTTCTCTCGGCAGTGCGCGCACGCCGCTGCGGTCTCTTCCTCCTCTTCGTTCTCCCCCTCGCCCTCTTCGTCTTCGTTCTTCTCCGCCTCCGCTTTCGTCTTCGCTTTCGCTTTCTCTTCGCTCTTTTGTCGCGCGGCCGCGGCGTTGTTGCCGACCACGGTGGAGAGGTCGTGCTGCGGCGACCACAGTAATCGGTCGTTGGGCATGGGCGCCATCACGCCGATCGTAGTGCCGGCAATGCCCTCCTGCTGGAGGATGCGCATGCGCTTGAGCTCGAGCAACAGCTTCTCCCGCTCGTGCTGCCACTCGCTCCGCTCGCGCTCGAACTCGTCGCGCTCCTGCCGCACCTTCTCCTCGTGTTCGCGCAGGGCCTCCTCGCGCGCCGCGAGGGCCTCCTCCCGCGCATCGGGCTTGCTGGACACGCCGGGCGGCGCCGGCTGCGAGCCGGTCAGCGACGATCGTCTATAACTCCGACGCGACATCTCTCCGCTCCACCGCAGCACTTCGGGGCTTCGCATCTCGAGCCCGGCGCTGCTGGCGGTCGTGGCGACGGCGCCGCCGCTGTGTCGGTCGCTTCGCTTTTTTACCTCCGACGGCGTCGTCGCCGTGGCCGTCGTGCTTGTCGACATCTTCTCTCTTTCGCCACGGTGGCTGACCCGTTCCCGGCTGTCCGTGCGTTGCTGGAGCGCAATGGGCTGCCACGACGTGCCGATCCCTAGGCCGGGCAGCTCCAGCTCATCAGACCGCGCGCGCTCCTCGATCTCCATCTCCAGCTCCACCTCGGCCTTGATCTCCATCTCTCGCTCGATCGTCGTCGACTGCCACACGTTGCTCCACGTCAACCTCTCGGCCTCGCCTTCCGACCCACTGTCGACAATAACGCGTTTCAGGCGGCTGGTGAGCAAAGAAGAAGAACAAACTCGGCCCTTGGGTGGTTCAAGGTACGTACCTCGCGCCAGACAGTGAAGAAGATCGGTGCTTGCCCTGCCGACTCCCCGACTTGCTACTAAACCTACAGCACCAAAAGCGTTGGTATTTCGAGGGCGTGACACGCACGCGCACGCGCACACACACACGCACACGCAGAAGAACGAAGAAGAGCGAAGAGGGACGTACTTGTCGCCCTTGGGCGACAGTGGCGGGGTTCGGTGGGGCATGTGGAGGTAGGGGGATGAGGGCGACGACGCCGGCGTGGTGTTGAGGAAGCCGCTGCGCGGGGACGACGGCAGCGACGAGACCGTTGCGTCACCGCCGCCCGAGTGGTGGTAGGGCAGGGACGTGGTGGACTTGGACACGGCCGCGGGCGACGTGAGCGGCGACGGGACGGGCGACAGCGAGGCCGACGACGAGCTGCCGGCGGAGAAGTAGGACTTGGGCGCCGCCGGCGCGTGCGAGGGCAGCTTGAGCCGCGGCACGTAGGGCGCCGAACTCGAACTGGCCCGCTCGCGCTTCGGGAACAGTTTGGTGGCCGTCGGCGGCGCCTTGTTCGACGGGCTCGCACCGCTGCTGTAGGCGTGGGCGTGGCTGTGGGCCGGACTGGTGGCGGTGGGTCGGGTGACGCACACGCTGTGTCGGGGCGATCGGAGGTCGTCGAGGTCGAAGCCTCCGGCTGCCGCCTGCCCCGCCGCCTGGCTGCGCACCTTCTCGTCGCTCCGCGACAGCTTCTGCGTCGTGGGACTTCGCACGCCGTCGCCGACGCCGACGGCCTGCTCCTTGTCTCTGTCTCTGTCGACACGCTCCTTGTCGACAACGACGCGCTCCTTGTCGACGCCTTTGCCCTTGCCGCTCAGCGACCGGCCTCGCCGCTTCACCGATTGCAGGAACCCCGAGCCCTCGTTGTTCGCGCCGCTGCCGCTACCGCTGCCGCCGTCGGTCGACGAGTGCTTGATGCCGGCAAATGTGCTGAAGATGCCGCTGCCGCTCTTGCGCTTGATGCTGTTCTTGCGCTTACGCTCGCGCTTCGACGACGCGCTCTTGTTGTCGTTGTCGCTGTCATCGCCGTTGACGGCGTCGTCGTGGCTCACCCGGCGCTTGAGCTGCTGCTGCTGCTGCTTGTCGACAGATGACGGCAGGGAGTGGGAGGAGAGGGACCGCTTCTTCATGCCCGGGTCGAGCTTGCTCTTGACGACGCGCCCGGCCTCGCCCGTCTCGGAGAACGAACGGGCGCGGCGCAGGGGCCACTCCCGCGAACTGCTCCGCACTCTGTCGCTTTCGCTTTCGCTTTCGTTCTTTGTTTGTTTGAGCGGGTCCGTCGCCACGATGATCTCAACGCGGCTGTTCCTCCGCTGGTGCGACGCGGCCTTGCTGGCCGGCGTCGGCGACGTCGGCGTCGACGTCGACTTACTGGCCGACGTCATTGTCGACAGATTCTCTGACGACGCGGTCTCGCTGCTCGTTTCGGTCGAAGTGAGCCTGACTGCGGCCCCGGCGGCAGCGCTCTCGCTATCGGCAGACGGCGGGAGCGGCGGCAGCCCGGCCGCCTCGCGCTCTCGTCGCTCCAGCTCCTCCTTCTCGCGCTGCTTCTTCTCGCGCCACAGCCGTCGCTCCTCCTCTTCCCACTCGTCCAGCACCCACGTCGGATCCCGCCAGTCATCTATCACCGCACGCACCGCACACCGCACACGCACCGCACAGAGAAAACGAATAAGAACAAAGAACGAAGAAGAACGAAAGAGACAAAAGAAAGAGAAGAAAGAACGGAGAGTGTGTTGTGTACCGCTGTCGGTGTCGGAGGAGTGGGAGGACGAGGTGTCGTCGTCGCCGTAGCTGCCGTCCCACAGCGAGGCCTTGTCCTCCTCCGAGTCCGACGCGATGGCGTCGCGGGCCTTGTTGCCCTTGCGCCCGAAGGACACGTTGCGCCGCATGGAGTCGTCGAGGTCGTCCAGCGAGTGGTGCCGCTTGGGCCGGCCGCGGCGGGTAGCGACGGAGGTGGAGAGGGTGAGGGTGTTCTCCTTCTCCTTGCTGATGGACGCGCTGCCGATCTTCTTCAGGAGCTTCTCGCCAGGGAATTTGAAGCTGCGGGGCGAGATGAGATTGAGCTTGCTGTTGGTCTTGACCTGCCCCACCCGCTTCGATGAATGTGCTGAAGATGACGATGATGATGATGAGGGGGCGGGGGCAGATGTGGCTGATGATGTGGATGTCGCCATTTTTTACGATTCTGGCCTCTTCTGATCCTGTGATCCTCTCGAATCTCAAATCGATTTAAGGGGGGGAGCTCCACAACCAAGAATCGGAATTTATATCCGCCCTCGCTCTAAATGTAATCTCCCAAAAAAATCGAGGCGGTTGAATGGAAGATGAAGGGCCCGGCTCCGATGGTTGCGCGGCCAACCGAGCTCACGTTCTCCTCGCGTTCTTCCCCCTCCCGCACGTTGGTTAGCTTTTCGCCTTTTGTTGGTTGGGTTCATGTTCCCCAATTATGTATATTAATTAACCATGCTCCACATTCCATCCATGTCGACAAAATAATTACATGATGTGTGCAACATTCCACACTTACATTCACGCCAGGCTCGATCTCAGACGCCTTCAAGAAGAGAGGTCGGTACGCCGTAGTCAGGCGCCGGTGGTGGGATGTAGTTGGCTGTTGGAGTGAAGAAGAAAGAAAAAAGGAAAAGCAGGTGGGATAGGTGTTCTCACATGAATGTATGATTTGGAAAGTACCTGGGGATGGTGGCAGCCAGGAGAACAACCACAACGGGGACCACCTGCACCCACCAGCCCAACAAGCATGCGGGAGTTGATGAGCCACAATGCTTGGGGCACATGTGGGGAAGAAGAGGGTGGTACCCTTTTCGCTCGAAGAAGATCTCCCAGTTCTTGCGCAGGCCGTGGTCGTACTCGTTGAAGTATTCCTGCTCTGCCACGGCTCCCTTCTTGGCGACGCGCCGGCTCTGGTAAAATTCGAGCGTCGTCTTCCCTATTTGTATCGAATGTATGTTCGTGATGATGACGACGTGGTCAGACCACGCATCGATCAAAACCGCAGCGAGAGAACGCAGCACCTTTGGAGATGATGTAGCCTTGAAAGATGACCATTGCCGCCACGGCACAGTTGCCAAAGAGGATGACGATCCAGGAGAAGAAGATGGACTCCCTCGATGCATTGATCTCCCAGGGCTGACATTGTATGGAGCACCAAGCGATCAATCACAGTTAGCCCCTTTTTCCTTTGGCTTCATACACTCGAAAGAGGCGAGAGCGGAGGAGTGCCTTGTAGATGAAGAGCTCCATGAAGGGGTAGGACATCATCACCAGCCCGTAGAAGCTGCCCATCCAGGCATACAAGAGGAAGAGGAAGAAGTACTTCTGGTTGTTTTGCCCCACGCAGGTCCACACCCAGGCTGCACGCAAACATCCGTTTAGACTGCTTCTGATATCAGAGCGTGGTCCAGGAGGAAGGGGGCACAACGTACGACAATGGTGGTCCATGCCCAGTATGCACCTGCAACGATCACCAAAAAAAGAACAAGAGGAAAAGAAAGAGAAAAAGAGTGTTAGATGGTGCACGTGAGACGGAACCGCAGCATTGGGGGGGGGGGCAGTTACTTTTTGCAGATAGAGCAGTGGTGTGCTCGCTTCGGCTTGGGCTTCTCGCCTGCGCAGTTGGTGGGGGAAGGCCAAGCGGGAGTGAGGCCTCCGCCACGCGCGAGCGAGCGAGGGAAGGTGTGTAGAGGGTTCTATGCGTACACTTGCGGCACCACGCGTTGTGCTTGATGTCCTTCAGCCCGGCCGAGCGGCGGTTGAAGAGCAGAGACTCTAACTGCTTCTCCTTTGCCTCGCTCTGTGTGCACACACACAATGCGTTTGTGTCAGCTTCGAACCGGTGCATGCATCGACCAATGCAGCGTCATTGCGTGTACCAGCGAAGGGCTGCCCGGTGGCGTGTACATGCACTGCACGAGGTAATCAGCACAATAAATAAATAAATATAAATAAATAAATAAGCAATATGAAACATAAAGAGTGATAATAAACGGATATAAAAATATAAATGAGAAATAAATACCTTAAAATAATTGTAGAAGCCGCCGTGGGCGAGGAAGACGGAGAAGGCCAGATGGCACAGCCCGGCCAGCGACTCGAGTGGTCGGTGGCCCACGAAGTGCGGCAGCACGGCCACGAAGTGCAGCCCGACGCACCACAGCGTGCCGACCACCCCGACCGTGGCCAACAGCAGACCTGACGATCGCACCATGCGATCCAGCCCTCCATCCAAGACCGGCAGCAGGCTGGCCCAGCACGACGACGACGATGAGTGTGGAGAAGAGCCGGACGTCAAAGATGATGAGGATGGAGAGTGAGAGTGAGATGAATTTGCAGCGATGGAATCGTCGCGTCGTTCCATTAATCGCTGAACCAGAAGGGCGGCCCCGCAGCCCTCCATGGGTACCCTTCCCCTCGCCATCTTGCACTTGTCTCGCTGTGTTGTGACTCGACGGTCATGCCACGGTCGACCGGAGAAATAGAATTTCTCTTGGATTTCTTATACTTTCCCTGCATCCACTCCAAAGTGCAGCTTTAAACTGTTAGGGCGTCGCAACACGAAATTTCGCCCTTCCACGGTCCTTTTAAACCCCCCGAAAGGAAAATACCTCTTGCATGCCAGCATACGATTGGTTTCTTCTAAGCTCCTCTCTGATATTTGATTGGTTTCTTCTAAGGTGCCTAAAAGCTAGCTGGTTTTCACTGCGATAACAGAGAAAACAGAAAATGACAGGTGCAGGGGATAGAGATTTCAAGGAGAGAAGAAATCCATGTTCGCTGATGACTTTTCGAGGCAACTGTCAGATTTGTCATCAAGGCCACTGTGAAATGAAAATCGAATGACATTCAGTGGAGATGTTCAATGACATCTCATAACTCTTGTTAAATAAAACCCTTTGTCAGCAACAGTGTGGTGATCATCAATGCATCAGCTATCCAGCACCACAAAGAGGGCAAAAGCAGCACTGCATGCTCAGTGCTGGTATCAACAAAAAGTTGGAGCACTAGACCTCTGGTCTGCTCCAATCTTTAATTGCAGATCAAAATCTGCAGCACTCAACATTGGGCACAAATTGGCACAAGTATCAGAATCAAGGTATGTATCCTATTACTAATGATTAAATAAAAATGGCTAATTGGAGTAGGCCCAGTGTGCAGTCTTGGGCTGGGGGGAAGCATCCCTTCCCAGCCATCAAGAAAAAGCCCTTCCAAGAGAAGAATGGATCCTTCTCAACCTCCATGTGTGTGCTGGGGACCACTTTATGTGGTAAATGGCACATGGGGTTGTGACATGTTGGTCCAGCCATCCACAACACCTTTGTGTGCTTGCTAGGTGTGGATGTGCCTCAAGAAGAACTGCTGCAGAAAGACTCTGTGGTGCAGTTCAATATTGAGTTTCTCTTGTGCTGGCGGTATGCCATTGCACACAAGTTGGCATACAGTCAGGTACACAATCCCAGTGAACATGGGTCCAGGGTTTTAACTAATCATGCTATTGCAGAACATCAACATTGCCCTCAATGGCACAACAAAAGGCCAATCTCACTCTCTACTAGCCCTTCACTTTGGTGGCATGCTCAATGGCAAAGACTGGATGGCAACCATTGGCATGCTCAACCTAGCTGGGGGAAAGAGTGCAAAAGAACAAGCTGAGATCATCAACAATGTCTGGCAAGACCTCAAGCAGCAACAACAGAGGATGGGCGTACCCCAGAAAGAGCTTCACCAGATCCAGTCAATATCTTTTGATAACACAGCTGACAATTGTGGTGTGAAGAATGGAATATGCACAGAGTTAGATTGACAATGAAAGGAAAGCGCCAGGGTGGTGGGGCGAGAATATGAACCGCTGCTTGAGAAGGGCTGCAGTGACCACATTGCAGCCCTGTGCGTAAAGCAATGGGAGCGTCAGGTGGCTCAGAGAGTGAAAGAATGGGGGCTGGTGAAGCTTCTGCCACCCCCCAACACAAAGCATTACCTGAATCAGTTCACAGCAACAATGAAGCAACTCACTCAGTGATTTGTCAATGGTGCATGGAAGGGCCACTGGCCAACATTCATCCACCTCCTTTGTGCCACCCAACAGCACCTGACTGAGTCACATGCACATGATTTGTGAGCACCAATCAAATGGCCACTATGCCTATCAATGGTACAGCCACACCATCAGTAGTAGGGGAGGTGCTCACCTATTCCTTGTCCAATTTCTATTACCTGAACCTCTGGTATGGGGGGCTGGACCTCACAACCACAGACAAAGACCAGCTGGACTTCATGGCCCTCATGGACCCCAACATCAAGCACCTGATCAAGATTAGTGCAATTGGCTTGGAGGTATGGGTGGGTACCATGGAAAGCTCTTGCTCAGGCTGACCATTCCTTTTCCTCTTTCTGCACAGGTCCTTCTTGGACCATTCATGTGAGGGTTACCCACAATCTTGACAATTGGCAAGTACATTCAACACGTTGGGAAGCTACATACCATGGTGTCAACATTGCTCACCAATGATGCCACACGCCACACCTTCTTTGACAACAACCATGGGCTTGTTGTCTACCACATCACCCACTCTGATCTGGCGGCTCAGCTACACTCTTGCAGCTCAACATCCTCACTGCTCACATCACACACTCTCACTCGCTCTCTCGCCTGCTGCCTCCAACTACCCTGCACGCTCACCACCCCCACATCAGCACAAGCAGTCCCCTTACTTCGCCCTTCTGCTCAGCTTCCTGTGGATGCCACACCATCATGTCCATCATTCGTCGAACGCTGCCACACCTACGAGACACTCTACCTCTCCTCCATTCTTGACACCCTGCAGAAACACAACGCCAAGTACTTACCCGGTGGTGAGTACACCACCACGCCATCACTCCACCACGTCCACATACAGACCAGTACCCGCAGCGTGGAGCGGGTCTTCTCTGATGTGGACCGGCAGTTCAAGTCATGAGGGCCAGCTCTGTGGGCAAGCCTCCTCTCGGTGCTAATTGCAGCACATGAAGCCACCGACATCGGCTCCTACTTTAAGACCTATCAGGAGCACTTCAAGGTACTGCGCCTAGTCACATTACTACGCACACCAATGTTGAGCTAATTTACCAATCTTCAGGTCACACAAGAGGCGCGAGACTACATCAAAAGGGAACCCATGCACCTTGACCTGCAAGCCAGCAAGGCGGAGCACTTCTTTGAAGGCAAGCGCGCCGACATCGAGAGGGCGCGGCGGTGCATCACCTGCGAGCAAGAAGATGAGGAGGTCGCCCGAATCATGCAGAACTAC